CGAGAGACCCAGAAAGGGTCGCATGCCTCCAATGGGGCCGCCGAGAAAGCCGTCTCAACGATAAGGGCCCATGCAAGGACTTTGAAAGCCGAGCTCGAGCACAGGCTCAAGATCGAGATTTCAGGGCACATGCCGATCTACTCTTGGCTGCTTAGACACAGCAGCTTTATCCACAACCGCTTCATGGTCACCAACAAAGGACTCACGCCGCACGAGATAGTCTTTGGGAGACGCTACACGGGAAAGCTCCTTGTCTTCGGGGAACAATGCATATACTACGCTGGCTCTCGGTTTAAGGGAGACTTGCAGTGGAGGCAAGGGACTTGGGTTGGAACAAATGAGCGGAATGGTGCTCATATCGTGCTCACCGAGGCCGGAGCACAAGAGTCGAGGTCTATCAGAAGAGTTCCCTCAGAGTCCCAATGGGTGGCGAATGCTGTGGTGGCAGCGCGTGGGTTGCCGTGGTCCTATGGCGGGCAAAGTAAGAGAAAGAGGCCCATCTATTCGTCACAAAGGGTGCCCCTGCTTCCTGACACAGCTTCACTTGAGGAGCTGGCAAAAGCAGCGGGCAAGGCGGCGGCAGAAACGATCGCAGCCCAAACCCCTTTGCTGCAAGCTCCTTTGACTCCGGGCCCCCGAGCAGCCGCGAACCAGGACGAAGCAGGTACGGACCCCAGCAGCAGCACCAGCTCGAGCACTTCAAGCCCATCGTCACGAGGAGGACCGCCAAGCCAAGCAGTTCCCCACGCAGCAGGTGGAGTAGCACAAGCAGTTCCCAACGCAGCAGGTGGAGTAGCACAAGCAGTTCCCGACGCAGCAGGCAGAGTAGCTCAAGCAGTTCCCGACGCAGGCAGAAGAGTAGCGCAAGCAGTTCCCGACGCAGCAGGTGGTCACACTGACGGTCCGCAGGCAATGGACACAGGAGATGGCCCACGACGTGAAGCCGAAGGAGGTGGTCCGAGCCAGGGGCAGCCGAAGAGGCCCCGACTTGTGTTGGATCGTCCCGTCTCGTCCCCTAGTGGAAGCTCTTTGTATCCACCAGGGTTTGCCGGCGTCAACGAGATCCATGGCGACGTGCTGCCGGAGGACGAGTCACAATGGGAGCAATGGATGGAAGGCGTCGAGGCAGTCTTGGACTATGAGAACAATGCAGAGGAGCCGAGCTGGGGTGAGTTTGGCGACAGGCCGCCCGAGCTTAGTGCCGAGGAGCTGGAGCCCATAGACCGTGTCAGTGATCGCACCGAGGTGAAGAGACTGATCCAGATGGGTGCTCTTCGTGCACCGCGAGCTGACGAGGACTACAGCAACTACTCCAGGCTCACTACGAAGATCGTCAGAGATTGGAGGAAGCGGCCAACATGGGTGAGGAGGAGCAGACTTGTCGCCAGGGAGTTCCGCACTTGGGCTCCTTGGTCAGAGGAGCTATTCGCTCCAGCTTCCTCACTTGGAGTCGTCCACGAGCTCATCGCTGTTGCGTTGGCCAAGGGTCTTGAAGTCGTCACCCTTGACGTGAAGGACGCCTACCTCAACGTCCCACAGGTGTCCCCGGTTTTGATCTATGTTGACAAGGCGTTGGTGGAGGAAGGAGCAGTTGGAGAGGTGCCGTTCATCTTGGAGCGACTCCTGCCAGGACAGCGCATTGCTGCAGCCGAGTGGTTTCAGTTTGTGAAGGAGATGCTGGTTGAAGGTGGAATGGAGAACTTTCCCAAGGAGCCCACTCTCTTCCGGGCCAAAGGGAAGGAGGACACGGGGATGATTCTCCACGCAGATGATGGCATCCTGGCCTCAACCCGCCAAGCTCGAGAAGCTCTGGTGGGTGTCCTTGCCAAGAAAGTCGAGGTCAAGGTCAGCGAGCCGCTTGAGATTGGCCAGGAGATTGAGTTCCTCAAGAGGAGGTACATTCGATGCGATGACGGTGTCATCATGATGTCGGGCACCAAGCACCTGGAAGGCCTCCTCAACTCGCTGGGGCACGACGTCAAGGAGCGAGATGCCCCAGCTGATGGCTCTTTCGTCGAGGAGGACAATAGCGAGGAGCTCAACGAGGCTAAGAAGAAGCTCTACCAGGAGTGCGT